CCTCGGTGGTCGAGAACACCCTCAACCGTGTCTCCCACATCTCCCGCACCTCATCCCTCACACCCCGTCCACGCAATAAGAACCAAAAAAGAATCCCCCTCGTCCTCACGTACCACCCCACCAACCTCCGGATCCAACGCATCATCCTCCGACACTTCCGCCATCTGCAATCCGACCCCACCACCAAAGACATCTTTCCCTCCCCACCCTTATCTGCTTTCCGGAGGGACAACTCTCTCCGTGACTCCCTTGTCCGCTCCACACTCCCCTCCAGCTCCACCACACCCGGCACTTTTCCCTGCAACCGCAGGAAGTGCTACACCTGCCCCCATACCTCCTCCCTCACCCCCATCCCAGGCCCCAAGAAGACTTTCCACATCAAGCAGATGTTCACCTGCACATCTGCCAATGTGGTATACTGCATCCGCTGTACCCGGTGTGGCTTCCTCTACATCGGGGAAACCAAGCGGAGACTCGGGGACCGCTTTGCAGAACACCTACGCTCGGTTCGCAACAAACAACTGCACCTCCCAGTCGCGAACCATTTCAACTCCCCCTCCCATTCCTCAGACGACATGTCCATCCTGGGCCTCCTGCAGTGCCACAACGATGCCACCCGAAGGTTGCAGGAACAGCAACTCATATTCCGCTTGGGAACCCTGCAGCCCAATGGTATCAATGTGGATTTCACAAGTTTCAAAATCTCCCCTCCCCCTACCGCATCCCAAAACCAGTCCAGCTCGTCCCTGCCTCCCTAACCTGTTCTTCCTCCCACCTATCCCCTCCTCCCACCTCAAGCCGCACCTCCATCTCCTACCGACCAACCTCATCCCGCCCCCTTGACCTGTCCGTCCTCCCTGGACTGACCTATCCCCTTCCTAACTCCCTACCTACACTCACCTTTACTGGCTCCATCCCCGCCTCTTCGACCTGTTTGTTTCCTCTCCACCTATCCTCTCCTCTATCCCTCTTCTATCCGCCTCCCACTCTCTCCCTATTTATTTCAAAACCCCCTTCCCCTCCCTCTTTTCTGATGAAGGGTCTAGGCCCGAAACGTCAGCCTCTCTGCTCCTATGATGCTGCTTGGCCTGCTGTGTTCATCCAGCCCTGCACCTTGTTGTCTCGGATTCTCCAGCATCTGCAGTTCCTACTATCTCTGATTCAATTCTTACAGGGAGGTTCACTAGAGCCATTTGGGAGTGTTTAAATTAGTGTAGCAGTGGGGTGGAAACCAGAGGGGTGGGGTGGATTGGGGTGTTGTGGGGAGCGGAGGGAGGGGGAGAGGAGTGGCATGGAATGGGAACGGTCATTTATTGTCATTTGCATTTTTACCAAAAAGTGGTGAGAAGTGTTTAAGTTGCCTTACTAAGGCATCTATATTAATAATAACAGAAGGTACAAGTAAGTAAGATAAGTGCTTAAGTCGCCTTACCAAAGTGCCTATATTAATAATAATAACAGAAGGCACAGATAACTAAAAATTTTAAAAGTTAAGACAAAGTTCATCTAACTTCATTTCCCAGCTCCGAGGTTCAGGGAAAGACAGTACCACTGTAAAGCCGCCACACCGGGCTGCTGGAATACTGGGCCGCACGACTCCGCAGAAGCCGCCCCAAGGACTGATCTTGTCACCAATCCCAAGAGGGAAGACATCGCAAAAAGCATTCCCGGGTTGCCGGATGCCAGACTAAAACTGAAGCCACCAGCGGACTCTGTCAATGAAGCAGGTGAGGGTGTTGGTGGAGGCAAGATGATGCCAAAGAGTGGCAACTTTCATCTCAGCAGCTGCAGCGCTGCGAAGGGAACCCATGCCTGGTCACCAGGCCCATGGTGGAGCACTTAACAAGACGTGTAAAGTTGAACTTTTTCCTTCTTTTTCTTCGTTTTTCTGCCTTCATATTCATGTTTTAGCTTATTTTTCTGTGTTTTAAGATCGCGCCGGAGAATGGCAAAACTGTACAATATTATATGACAAAAATACACGTAAATCAAATAATAAAGAATTTAACCCTGAAAACTGAGAGGTGATGTACTTTGGAAGCAGTCATAGAACAAGGAATTCAATGAATGGCAAGGCACTTGGGTGCATGTCCACAGACCCCTGAAAACAGCTTAATAGAGAATGTGGAGCTGGAGGAGCACAGCAGGTCAGACAGCATGAGAGGAGCCTGATGAAGGGTCCCAGCTGGAAATGTCAACTTTCCTGCTCCTCTGATGCTGTTTGAACTGCTGTACTCCTCCAGCTCCACATTTTATCAACTCTGATTTCGGCATCTGTAATTCAAATTAGAATTAGATTTATTGTTACGTGTGCAAGTATAGAATTACAGGAGTACAGTGAAAAGTTGCCATTCCCAATGCCATGTTAGATACAAAGGTACCTAAATACAAAATAGAAAAACAAAAAAACACAATTAAAAGTGGTTAGCATTGCTGCCTCACAGTGCCAGGGACCCGGGTTCAATTCCACCTCGAGCGACTGTGTGTGGAATTTGCACAATCTCCCCATGTCTGTGTGGGTTTCCTCTGGGTGCTCTGATTTCCTTCCACAGTCCAAAGATGTGCAGGATAGGTGGGCTGGCCATGCTAAATTGCCCATAGTGTTCAGGGATGTGTAGCTTAGATGGGTTATAGGGAGATGGGTCTGGGTGGGATGTTCCAAGGGTCGGTGTGGGCTTGTTGGGCCTGTTTCCACATTGTAGGGATTCTATGATTCTACGATGATTCATGATTCTATAGCCTGAGCCTGCAGTTGCTCCCTACTGGGCTTTCCCCATGAGAGCTTGCTCTCCCCTGCACTAGGCTAAGTCCCTCACTGCCGACTCTCCAGCCACTTTATCCCCAGCCGCCATCGGGCTCGCAGTCCGCTGACTTCGTTGCCAACCCGCCACCCGGACTGGCCAGCTGCTTCTTTGCCGACCCGCCACCCGGACTGGCCAGCTGCTTCTTTGCCGACCCGCCACCCGGACTGGCCAGCTGCTTCTTTGCCGACCCGCCACCCACACTGGCCAGCTGCTTCTTTGCCGACCCACCACCCACACTGGCCAGCTGCTTCTTTGCTGACCCACTATCCAGACTGGCCAGCTGACTCGCCACCGACTGTCAAAGCCCTGCCAGCTGCAGCCGCTGCCAATAACTCCACAACTGAGCTCTCTCCAGAAGGTATGCAAAAAAACCTAAAAAACGGAGAAAAAAAACTGAGGACACTTGCCTTTGTCTATCAAAGCATAGATTGTAAGAGCAGATAAAGTATGTCAGAGCTTTACACAACATCAGTTAGACCAAAGCTGGAGTACAGTGTGCAGCTCTGGTCACAACACTATAGAAGGATGTGATTGTTCTGGAGAGGTGAAGAGGAGATTCATCATGATGGTGCCTGGCTGGGAGGTATGTTAGCTATGACAAGAGGTTGGGAAGGCTTGGTTGCTTCCTTTGAACAGAGAGGGCTCAAGGAGGACCTGATTGAGGTGTACAAAATTATAAAGACATGGACAGGATGGATAGATTGCAGCTGTTCCCCTCAAGTCAGGGTCAATAACAAAAGGACATGCTTTTAAGGTGAAAGACAGGAGGTTTATACA